CCCATTAGGACTCTAGGAGCTGATCCTGAGGCTCCCTCCCTCCCCCAGGCTCCGCAGCCCCCTCAACCCCTCAGCAGGCTGGGAGCCTGCTCCGGCCTCCCCCAGCAGGAAGCTCAGAGTGGCCAGAGCGGCCACTGTCCCCAGGCTTCCCCGACCAGCTTGCCCAGCCCAGGTCCCGTCCTGGGCCAAACACCCTGCCTCACCCAAACTCTCCTGCCACCCACCACAGGGGGACGAGAGGCTGCCCTGTCCTTTCCCCAAAGCCTGGGGCACGTGTCGCTGTGCTGCTCCAGGACACAGTCACACGGACCCCAACTCCAGGTCCTGGACTCCCTGCCTCCCCAGGGTACCCCAGCAGGGGCAAAGCCAAGGTCGCCGGAAGCCTGCAGCTTGGGGAACCCTGCTGGCCGCTGCCAGGCAGGTGACTGGTGCCAGCTTTGCCCAGCAAGGCAGGAGGCCCAGGAAGCAGCCCAGTGCCCAAAACCAAGCAAGGCTGAGCCCAGACTGGGCCCTTCGGGTGGCACTGGAGCAGCGGGCTCCTGCTGAAGGAAAGCCCAGGTCCTCCCCAGCCTCTTTCAGGAGCCCTCGGACTGTAGCCCACTGGCCTTGAGCGAAGCACCATAAGAGACCCCTCTGGGGTCTGTAGGAATCCAGCCTCCTCAGACCACCTGAGCTCAGCCCCCAGACACCTGGGCTGCTCCCACACCCAGGCTCTGGGCCAGACGGGGATTTGGATCCCATTTCCCTTCTTCCCAGCTATGGCCTCGGGCAATGCACTTGACCCCCCCAGGCTCATTTGGAAGGGTGTACGGGCTTCCACTCTATAAGGCCCGACACCCGGCGCACCCTCGGGCCAGGACAGGGCCTCCACCAACAGTGGCTGTGACGAGGATGACACAGGAGGGAAAGAATCCAAAATGGGCGGGCCTGGGTGTGGTGGCTCACGCCTATGACCCCAGCACTTTGGGAGGCTGAGGCAGGTGGATCACTTGAGCCCAGGGGTTTGAGACCAACCTGGGCAACAGAGCGAGACCTTGTCTCAAAAAAAACACAAAAATCCAAAGTAAATCAAAGCGAAAGGCCCCTCAATGTGCCTAAGTCCCCGGTCCCACCAGCAGTGGGTTCAGGCAGCTGGGAGGCGGGTCTAGGTCAGAGCCCAGGCCATTGGCCAGGCTGTCCTCGTGGAAGGCCACTCACTGACCCTTGCCCTGGTCCTGGGCTGGGACACTCCCAGGAGACCCAGCAGCCCTCTGAGCCAGGACTTGCCCATCCTCAGCTATGTGAGCTCATTCAGGGCAGCCTCCCCTCAACCCCTGGGGCTCGATGGGACCACACAGAGCCATCAAGGATGTTCCGGGGACGGGGCCCCAGAGAGGAATCTGGTGTTTTCTGACAAGTGTCATCCGAGCTGCAGCACAAGGCAGGACGGGTCCATAGGGGTGGGGGGTCCAGCCCACACAAACACCTGGACGTGGGGGGTCCCCAATGACTCCTCAAAGGGGATGTGTGGGAGTGCAGGTACGGCGGGCTGGAAGGAGGTGGGGCCAGAGAAGCCCTCCCATCCCTCAATCAGGACAGCGCCAATTTCTGGGCCTGCAGAGAGACACCTGGAGAGCTCTGGAGAACCAAGGTCACAGTCTCCCTTGGGACTAAGACCCCAGTGCTGCGGTGACACAGGGCTCCCCGATGGCACTGTCCCCACCGGACATCTGTCAGGGGACCCAGGACTGTGCACTGGCCGGCAAATCTGGATCAAACTTTGCCCGACATCCCAAGTCCCCTGTGCGTTCTTCCCACACTGGGCGTGTGGCGTGGGCACCTGCTCCACGGGACAGGAGCCGCCCTGCAGCCAGGAGCTGTCACGACCACTAGGTCCTGGCCTCAGGATACCAGCAGAGCATGGGGTTCAATTCGGGGAGCATCCTTAAGAGGAAGGTCACCCCTTTTCTCTCTAGGACGCTGAAAATGGTAGGAACATAGGTCAAAGGAGCCGGAAACTAACTGCTGTTTCCCTAGGCTGCCCATCTGGTCTGCTTTTCTGCATGAAAAAGTAAACTTCTCTGTGGGTTAAGCTGCCGTCTTTAGAGTTTTCTGATCCTGTAGCTGGACCCAGCTGTAGGACACAGAGGGGCTCTGGGCTTTGCTTTCCTCTGTTGAATGGATGTACCAGGGCATCGGCCCCCGGTGAGGAAACCTGCCCTGCAGCTCCACCCTAACTGTGCACACAGGGAAGGGCTCGGGGGCACCCCCTGCCTGGGAGGGGTCCATGGCCTCAGCCCCAAGCCCGGTGGGAGCAAAGGCTGCCTCAGTGGTTCTAGTCCCATCACCGACCCTCACATGCTCAGAACTACAGTGTGGACAGCGGGGGGCTCTTGGGTGCCGCCTAGAACCACGTGGGGAGGGGCTGGGCCTCAGCCAGGGCAGCCATTGCGCAGGGGCAAGACGGAGCACCCCTCGCAGAGCTCAGGCCTGCCACAGGGCTGCCCCGACGGCGCCAAGCGTTGGGCTGGGAACGGGGGGAAAGGGAAAAGCAGGTACTCTGGAGTCACTGTCAGTGGGTTCGAACCCCAGTTCCACCCCGTCCTGGCTTGGGCACCCTGCCCCAGTTTCAAGTTGCTTATCTCAGCCTCAGTGTCCTTATTTGTAACACGGAGCACATGCGAATCCGTGTTCCTGAGGCTGGAGACACCCGTGGCGCACAGCAGCAACAGAGGCCAAGTATCCCCTCCCTCCCTTCCAGCCCCCCGGGTCCCTTCCCTGGCGTGACAAAGCGCCTCCTGTTCATCTGCCTTTCTCGCCCCTCCCGACGGCCCCCACGGAGTGAATGCATGTTCACAACAGCCCCACTCTTAGCCATTGCTGGGAGTCTTGGGAGCCCATGCAGAGGTGTGGGGAAGGCAGCCATGGAGCCCCAGGCCTCTCCTCCAGACTGCCCCGCCCTCCGGCCCTCCCTTCTCTTCAGGGACCAAAGCCGGAAACCTGCTGTTAGCAGCTAGTGTCCCAGAAGCCACTAGTCCGCAGGCCTGAGCCTGGGTGCTGCCCTGGAGAGGTAAGGGTGGCAGGAGGGTCCCATCCAAGCACCATCAGAGGCCCCAGGTCCCGAGGACACCCGGGTTAGTCAGAATCTCCAGGCTGAGATGGGGACAGGGCCGAGTGGGTGAGCAGGGCAGCAGGGCCAGTGCCAGCCAGCGCAGCCAGCCAGGTCCATAGAAAGGGCAGCAGGTGAACTGCGACTTGGCCCCTGGGAAACATCCATGAAGTTCAGGCAGAGGCCCCAGCGGAGCAAGCCAGGCTCTCACACGAGGAGGCTGCCGATGAAGAGACCCACGGCCTGGGGCCTAGCTCAGTTAGTGGGGTCTGCTCCAGGGTCTCCTAAGTCAGGGGCACCGTCACTTCTGCTAAAAGAACAGGACTCTGTCCCCTGTCTGTCCGCACCCCAGGACACACCCGGCCCAGGATGCCCTGCTGGCGTCAGAACCACACATGCCATTTCCTCGGGGTGGGGGGCAGCCCCCCAAGGAACCCATAGACTGGCCCCTCCTCAGCTGGGAAAGCTGCACCCTCGCTCCTACTCAGAATCACCCCAGGGGCTGAGCCCCCTTCACAGAGACCCCTGCCCACAGGGGATCCCAGGGCCAGAACCACAGGTGAGGCCTTCAGATATTCCAGCACAGGTGCCCAGAGCCCAGCCGCCCGGAACTCCCTGTTGCTGGAAACTGCCTTCCTCCCTGAAGGGCGCTCCACTGGGGAAGTCGGCACCAGTCACCACCTGGGCCAGTCCTGGAGGGTGCGCTCCCCGGGACCCTGGCCTGGGCCACCCGGCCCACATCAGCACCGGTCACACACATGTCCGGCTGAGCAGCTACCAGGCCCTTCTCGGACTCTCCATGCTCACCATCAGCCCCAGGGTCTTTCTTCATATTCCTGGAGCTTCTGGGGCTCCGTGGGAAGCCATGGTGGGGGTGGGGGCGGTCCATGAATGTAGGCCTGTTCCAGAAGCCTCAGCGCCCTCCCAGGACTGGCAAGGACAGCGAGTGTGGGGAGCTGGCAAACCCTCACCCACTGCCCCTGGAGCCACGGGGAAGAGGGCCTCTGGGGCCGCAATGCCCCCACCTCAGGCCATTGCAAAAGCCACTGGCTGGGCAGTCCAAACAGGGCAGAGAGAAATGTAGCAACAGCCTGGGGATGGCTAACAGGGAGAGGGGGCAGGCAAAAGCCTTCTCCGGCAGCCACCCCGCCCAGGAGCAGCCAGCCCCCGCCGTCCTTAGCAGTCCAGTCTGAACTCTGGCCCCCAACCCCAGCCTGGCAAAACCAAGCTCCCACCTTCTGGAAGGTGTCCAGGGGAACATTTCAGCCCCGCCAAACCCTAGTCCTAACTCTTCCTTCGCTTCGCGTGGAAGCTGGACCCCCAGACCTGGAGGCCAGCGTCGCGCTCCCCAGCACGGAAGCAGGTCCCCTCCGGGTCCCCCACCTCCCTGCGAAGAAGAAGGGGAGAGAGGGGAACCCGCCTCACAGGTGCGCCCATCACCAGGCCGACGGGCAGGAGGGCGTCGGAGGGAGGATGAGGGGCGCCCCACGCCGCCGTGCGCCCCAGTGAATGGCCCTGGGGCAAGTCCCCGCAGCCCCGGCCTCGGTTTCCCCGCTCAGGAAGCAGGGCTGAGCCTCTCCCAGCGCGGCCCGGCCCCCTTGCTCTCCGAAAGTCGCTCCGCCCCCAGAACCCCACGCCGGGCTACAGGGACGCGGCGGAGGCCGAAACCGGTGTAGACGCCCGGGGCCAGGGCGGCGGGTGGGGTGCTGGGCACTGTGACGCCGGCTCCGGGAGCCCTCCCTCCGGGACCCCCTCCCGTGCCCGCCGCCGGCCCAGGCGCGCTCTCCCCGGAGCCCCGGAGCGGAGCGGGGCGGGCCGGGCGGGGCAGGAAGGAGGGAAACCCAGAAGAAAGTTAGGGAAGCGGAAGCGGCGCGGCGGTTCCCCAGCCCCTCCCGGCGGCCCCCGGCCTTGCCTCATGTTCTCCACCGTCCGGCCGCCGTGGCGCAGCAGGCAGACGAGCGAGGCCACGGCGGACATCGCGAAGCACAGCGCGCAGTACAGGGCGACCTTGGCGTAGAACTCGGCCGCGCGACTCAGCTGCACCAGCAGCAACAGCAACAGCAGCGCCGCGGCCAGACACGGCCACAGCTCCATGGCCCGGCCCGGCCCGGCGCCCGACGGCGCGGCCCTGCTCACTCCCGCTCCCGCTCCCGCTCCTCCCCGGCGCGCTCAGGCCCCTTATTGCGAGGGCGGCGCGGCGGGGCGGGGCGCGGGGTGGGGCGAGGAGCGCGCGGCAGGGAAGGGCTAGGTGAGGCGCCCCGCCCTGACACTGTCCCCAACCACGCCCCGACACGGCCCCCTCACCAGGCCCCGCCCAGACACGGCCCCCCAGCCCCGCCCGACATTGTCCCCAACCCCGCCCCGACACGGCCCCCCCGTTCCCGCCCTGGGTCACCCGGCCCGTCCCTCCACGGTCTCTCCCCGCAGCCCACTGCCAGGTCACCGAGGCTCTGGCGCTCTGCTCCCACCCTCCCGGTCCCACGGGACGCCCCCCATCCTGGCTTCCCTGACGCTCGGTCTGTGGCGCTGACCCCCACGGTCTGGGCCTCCTACCCCGCCCGGTGCCCCCTCGCCCCGCTGCCAGGGCAGCCACAGGCTCCTGCGCCCAGAACCACAGCTCCCCAAGGGCGTAAAGGCAGCGGGGACGCGACCGCCCGTGCCAGGCCGGTGGCCACGCAAAAGGCCGCTCGAACCGCCCCCGAGTGACCAGTGGCCACCTGGCCGAAGGCCTGGCTCTTAGGGTGCCCTCGGGCCCCTGTGGGGAGATTCTTGGTGGCGGGCAGGCAAACTGGGGCGTGTTTCTGCGTGGGGCTGGGATGCCCCACACTGGGTACCAGAAGTAGCCTTGTCACCAGGGACGCTCCCGGGGCAGGCAAGGTGGGTGTCAGGTGGCAGCGTTCACATCCGCTTGGCAGCACGGCCAGCGTGGCGGGGCAAGGTGCGGCTGGGACAAGGGCGGCAGTCACCTGGCCCAGCCCCCACCCAGCGTCCCACCTCAGGGAGCAGATGGAGCTTGAAAAGCAGTTTCCTGGCCGGGCGCGGTGGCTCACGCCTGTAATTCCAGCACTTTGGGAGGCCGAGGAGGGCGGATCATGAGGTCAGGAGATCGAGACTATCCTGGCTAACACAGTGAAACCCCGTCACTACTAAAGCTACAAAAAATTAGCCGGGCGTGGTGGCGGGTGCCTGTAGTCCCAGCTACTCTGGAGGCTGAGCCAGGAAAATGGCGGGAACCCGGGAGGCGGAGCTTGCAGTGAACCAAGACTGCATCACTGCACTCCAGCCTGGGAGACAGAGTGAGACCCGGTCTCAAAAAATAAATAAATTAAAATAAATTTAAAAGGCCGGGCGCGGTGGCTCAAGCCTGTAATCCCAGCACTTTGGGAGGCTGAGAAGGGCAGATCACGAGGTCAGGACATCGAGACCATCCTGGCCAACACGGTGAAACCCCGTCCTTACTAAAAAAAATACAAAAAACTAGCCGGGCGAGGTGGCGGGCGCCCGTAGTCCCAGCTATTCGGGAGGCTGAGGCAGGAGAATGGCGTAAACCGGGAGGCTGAGATCCGGCCACTGCACTCCAGCCTGGGCGACAGAGTGAGACTCTGCCTCAAAAATAAATAAATAAATAAATAAATAAATAAATAAATAAATAAATAAAAGAAAAGCAGTTTCCTGGGGTCCCTCCTCATACGGACTCGGGTTTGCTGCAGTTGCTGGAGTGCTGGCCGCCCTGTGCTCTAAGGGGTCAGTAGGGGACTACAGCCCCTCTTTTTTCATATGCAGAGTTGAGCTATTAAAACATTTCCCTGCAGAGTTGAGCTATTAAAACATTTCCCTGAATATTGTAACCACCCCCCAAAACTGTGCTGAGACAATGACAAATACAGAAACTGCTCTTCAAATGAATGGGGAACTGCAGTCCGGCAGTCCGGAGGTCTGAGAGCTCCGCTGCTGTGCCTGGGAGGTTGAGAGGTGGCTGCCGAGGGCTGCGGGGCTTTCACCTCCCAGGGCAGATGTGGTGGGTGCACCCGGCAGCCAGGAGTGCCACTGCTGGAAGCTGGGGGATGTGGGGGTGGGGGCTGAGGTCCCAAGTGGATTTCCTGGAGGGGTGGAGCTTCACAGCACCTTCAGCTGGAGGCTCTGTCCCGAGCCTCCCAGGTCCCGAGCAGGTTGTACCCTGGCTGTGGAATCCAGTCCTCACAACCCTCAGGCCTGTCCAGGGGCTTTATGTGCCAGCCCCCTTCTTGTCCTTTACCTCCCAGCCCACTGACCGTTCCAGGGTGGCCGCCATCTTCCCGCACCCCTGGGTGACTCTGTGTGTGTTGGACGCCTCTCCCTCCTCTCCTCCGCCTGGCATGCAGCCCGTGGGGCCTCGTGTGTTTTGTGCACCGTGTATGACCAGCACTCAGGCCAATGCCTGGCACATAGCAGGTACGCAGCACACACTTTCCATAGCAGCAAATGCATCCCCATTTTACAGAGGGAAAACTGAGGCTCTCAAGGGTGAACACCAGACAGCCGGGACCGACTGGTGGAAAGAGGAACAGAGCGAAGGCTCCTGCCAGGGCTGGCGGGAGCAGCGCCAGGGCAGCACACGGTGACCCTGTTGCCTCTCCAGACAAGTGCGGTTTTGCCCACTGCTCTCCTGAAGAGGATGTGACCCAATTTCACCTCCTCCCTCTTCTCTGCACCTTGCAGAAGGGTTGAGAGAAATGTCCACTTTTCCTCTGACAAGATCCGAGAGGAGGCGGGCTGGGGACTCAGGGAGTGATGAGGAAATATTTTGTATTTTAATATAATGCCACATCTGGGAAGCTAACACATTCTTTGTTTCTAGAAGTAAAGCTCCAACGAATCTTATGGGCTGGCAGAGATGCCAAGAAAAGAGATTTTTCTTTTCTTTTTTTTTTTTTGAGACGGAGTCTCGCTCCGTCACCCTGGCTGGAGTGCAGTGGCGTGATCTCAGTTCACTGCGAGCTCCACCCCCTGGGTTCAAGCAATTCTCCTACCTCAACCACTTGAGTAGCTGGGATTACAAGATATACAGAGATGGGGTTTTATCATGTTGGCCAGGCTGGTCTCAAACTCCCGACCTCAAGTAATCCACGAGCTTCGGCCTCCCAAAGTGCTGGGATTACAGATGTGAGCCACCTTGCCCGGCCTAGAAAAGAGATTTTCTCTAAAATGAGTGCTTCTCTCCTAGGGAGGGCTGGCATGGGCTCTGCTGGGTTTATCCCAAGGGTGTCGTGAGGGACTGGGAGCCTGGTTCTGTTGTGTAGGGATGGCCAGCGGCCTGTCTGACCCTTGAGATGCCCTCAGCTACCAGGGGCAGGGGGTGCTGGGCCGGTGGTGGCCATGCGGCTGTACCCGCCCAAGGACAGCTGAGAGTCCTCCTGGGCATTTACTGGGACCCAGCCAGACAGCGCATGACACCAGGTGACAGTGAGAGCTGAGCTGGCTCCCGGGGAGCCCACAGCCCAGGAGCGGGTGAGGACGGAAGGACCAGCCAAGCCTCTCCAATTCCAGGAAGCAGAGATGAAGCCAGCGCTGTGTGGCCCAGGAAGGACTGGCGGAGCAGGGCAGCCAGGCTTTGAAGACCAGTCCATCTGGCTTTACACCCTGAATTAGCCAAAGCACCAGAGCCTCGGTTTCCTCATCTGTAAAGTGGAGACGCGACGCTCACTGTGCCCAGTGTGTGACCGGAGGCAGCTTCTGCGCCGGCAGGGCTCGTGGCCCTGACGAGGCCTCTCCCCAAAGACTTGTCCCGGAGAGACACCGGGACGAGAGCCAAGGAAGGGGAGAGGTTCTTGGCAGCTGGAGACACTGGGACGTGTGGCCAGGGGGCAGCCACAGCACAGCTGGGCCTCGGGATGGTCTCCTGAGGGGCTCCCTCCTTCCGGGGAGGACATCAGAGCCAGGCCTGGAGGCTGGACGGAAAGGCCGGGCTGTGCCGGGATCTCAGCCTGCACAGAGCGACTGAGGTCCAAGCCGGGCATGCCTGGGGCTCTCGGGCAGAGTGTACCCGGGCCAACGGGTTGTCCGGCCCCTGGTGGGTGTGCTGGGCGCAGTGCCATTCCCACCACCTGTAAATAAAGCAGCCTGTGAATCTTTCATGGGCTTGTGCTTAAAAATAGATGAGGTGAGCCCTCTGGGCTGGCTGCCCGGGCCTCTGCAGCAGGCGGGGCGGTCCACACTCTCCCCTGGGAGTCAGGGAGGGCGGGTGAGAGCCCCGAGGGGCGCTGGCCAGGGCACGTGGGACCTGGGGACATGTGGCCCCAGACGTGGGAGCCAACAGGAGGTCACGCCTTTGGATGTCCCATCCAGAGCATTTAGATCCCAGGCTGGGGTGGGGGTGAGGGGCGGAGCGCACCCCACAGGGTCCTTCTCCTGCCAGGAGGATGTCTGGGCTGGGAGACAGAGGACAGAGGTGGATGGAGAGGACAGGGACGGGAGGCATCAGGAGACATAAGGGAGGAGACGGCCCAGGAAGGAGGGGCCCACACTGCAGTAGCCCTTCCCTGCCCAGAGCAGCTGTGCCCTATGCACAGCCTCTCGAACCCGAGACACCCGTGTCTAAGTGGTGCATCTGAGGAACAGGGAGCTGGGGCAAGTTGGGCTACACAGAAGGAAGCACCAGAGCAGACGCAGAGCTCCGGCCTCTGACACTGCCATGGCTGGAGCTCACACAGGACCAGGGAGGCCCAGAGGGTGGGGTGTGCATGGGTCCCAGTCCGAGAGAGGGGTGTGGTGCAGGGCTGAAGAGCCCAAGGTCAGGGTCAGGCAGCCCAACCCAGCCAGGGTGACCTCGGATCGGCCCTGCCTCTCTAGGCCTCAGTTTCCCTTTCGTGCAGGGGGTGTGTGATGATTCAGTGGGACCGAGGCTCAGGATGGCCCAGGCCAGCCCAAGCAAGGCAGGGACGAAGGCCTAGCCACCAGCCTCGGCCTTACCCATGGCTTTTTACTCACTGCTGAGAGTGACATCCAGTCAGGCCCAGGGCCTCCAAGACCCCTCCTCTCGCATCTCCCCTAGGGCACAGGACGGAAGCAAGTGCCCCAGAGAATGGGCCGTTCAGGAGCCCCCTCCACTGCCAAGGCCGCCTCACCCACCACAGCGGGCTCTGCTCCCTGAGCCCCTCCCAGGGCCTCCCGACTGTGGGCGGGGCTTGGAGCAGCTGATCCCCCCTGGGGCAGAGGGGCCCAGGTCCC